TAAGCTGATCAAATAAGTCATCGATACGAGGTAAAGGATATCGATTTTTGATTGTGACTTTGTTTAATTGACGGTAATCGATGCAGAGTCTCATCGAGCCGTCTTTCTTTTTGACAAACAGAACGGGTGCTCCCCAAGGGGAAACACTCGGACGTATGAATCCTTTATCGAGCAGTTCTTGTAGTTGAGCCTTCAACTCTTTCATTTCAGCAGGAGCCATGCGATAGGGGGTTGTAGATATCGGTCCTGTTCCAGGAACAAGATCGATGAAAAATTCTACTTCTCTAGAAGATGGTATACCAGGAAGTTCGTCAGGAAATATGTCAGGAAAACCACATACTGTTGGTATGTCTTTCAACTCAGGAGTTTCTTTTCGTGTGTCACGTACGTTGCACAGATAAGCTTCACATTTCTTCTGAATGAGGCGCCTAGCGTGTAGGTACGAGATGAATTCAGTGGATTTAGGTGTTAGATTCTCCTTCACCTCTATAGACTTTCCCTCTCCAGACTTTAGTTGAATTGATCGTCGTCGGCAATCGATTATTGCTCGGTGTTTGGTGAGCCAATCCATTCCGAGGATGATGTCAAATTCTTTGTACGGTAATTCGACAAGATTGGCAGAGAACTGATGTCCTTCAACAATCAATGGACAATCTTGATACACATGATTCAACCTCATACTATGTCCTAACGGGTTAGACACTAGTATAGGTTGTTCCAATTGTTCTTTCATTATGTCAGCTTTTTCAGGCATATGTACACAGACATAAGACAACATTGATCCAGGGTCTATCAACACATGCATGATAGTATCAAATAAGGAAAACATACCTTGAATGACGTCAGGGTTTTCCTCAGTTCATGCCTTCATTGCATATGTACGAGCAGGAGCTCGTCCTTGTTGTTGGTTCTGATTCTTAGCTAGCTTAGACCCCGCTGTTGAGCGTTGACTTGGTGTGGGTCGTGCTGATGCAAACTGGCTAGCAACAGGAGCAAGTGGGAATGGTTCTCCAGGGTTTGTAGGGCACTCCTTTTTGAAATGTCCTGGTTTTCCACAGCCAAGGCACAACCCTTGCTTCAACCAACACTCTCCAGGGTGGTTCCTTCCACAGTGTTCACAAGCAGGATACTTTCGCTTCCTGGATCTATCAACGGATGTCATCGATTGAGTTTGCACAAATTTTCCCTTTTTAGAAAAATGTGAGTTACTAGATTCCTGGAATGACCTTTTTCCTTTTGAGGCAGAATTAGTGGAATGGTAAGTGTTTGGGCCAGCATTGTTTGCCTTTAGGTACTCAATGCAAGCATTCAGGTCACTATCCGCCCTTGCTATGATCTCGTAGGCCTCTGCGAAATCCACAGTGGTTAGGACGGACACACGTGACCTCAGGTCAGGTCGAAGTTTCGTCCTGAATTCCTCAATGCGATCAGTTGGGGTACTCACCAAGGTTGGCGCAAACTTTGCAAGCTTGGTAAACTTCTGACGATATTCAGGGAGTGTCATGTTTCCTTGTTCCAGCTCCACAAATTCTTTACGTTTTTCCTCACTAAAACGTTTCGGAATATATTCTTGCTTGAATGCCCATTCGAAATGTGCCCAAGTCCACGGCTTAGGGGTTCCCGCACTTTCATCGGTTCTCTTCCACCACTCGTAGGCTTCATTTCGCAGCAGTTGAGAAGACGGTCGATGGTAGTTGTCTATAGGTACGTTGAGATCCTTCAATACTTGAGCAGTCTGCTCGATCCAGTCCCACGCAATTTGGGGTTCACCGATGCGATCCCCAAGGAATAATTCTGCACCATTATCCCTTAGCGTTTTGAAGGTTATCACTCGAGGTGGCGATGGTGGAGGTGGTTGAAACATCGGCGCGTTGGCTATTTGTTGTAACACATTGGCCAGAAAAGTTGGGATTACAAGGTCGGGTTGACCACCAGCGTTCGGGTTATTCCCATCATCTTGTTGATTGACATGTTCATTTTGGATGGGAGGGGTGAAACTAGATGCTTCAGTATGAACACTGATGTGTTCATTGTTGTTGCCTTGTCCATGGGCAGATTCTTGACTCATTCTACAATAACAGAAATTCCTTTATTAGGATTCTTTTATTCAGTAGTTGAGTTTAAGACAGGAATTGTAAAGGATTACAATAGTCGATACAATCAATGGATTTGAAACGATTAACAAGATAGTTTCTAAATGTGTGCGTTCAATTGTTTGGATCGTGACGAATCTACAGCTGGTTCTTCTATCCCTGATCCACACACGCTGTTGGCAGAATCTACGCTGAATGTCTCTTCCGGGTCGTCTCGTTCCCATGCAGCCTTACGGCGCAAATAAATCCTTCGTTTCATTATTCTCGCGAAGCGATGTGCACGTTGGTAACGTATCAACGAATCATAGACATTTCGTTTGTTCTTTCGTCTTTTACCAAGTACGAAAGTGCGACTTGAATCAACACTTGATATCATTTTCGAATTAACAGTGGACATCTATAAAATTTGATATAGTCAATTTCAGCACTCATTTTTTTTACCTTCCTGGAGCAGAGGGATGTGAGAGTCGTGGATGTGATTGAATTTTTTTTATAGCCAAAATATATATGTATATATATATATATATATATATATATATATATATATATATATATATATATATATTTAAATCCAAGTTTTGATCCGAAGATCGGGTTTAAAACCATTTGCTCCGATACCAAATTGTAACACCCTAATCCGTCCAGGTCTGCAGCCCTTTTCGGACTAAAGTATAAACTTGGTATTCGTAAACATTTAATATATTTCAAATATTTAAAACTTTATTTCATAATGAATAATTCAAAATAGTAACGGAGTAATTTAATGTTGCGGAAGCATAATACAAACATAATTCATTTTTTTGTCTTTTCAACAGTAATTTTAATGCAAAACACACATCCGTCCGATCTTCTCATCCCATCTGCCTCCAGGAAATCATCTCTTCATTCTTTTTGTTTACCTGCGTGTAGCAAATAAAACATACTACACGCTCAGCATTTAAGCTGAGTAAGCATATCTAATGCGTCGAACATCCATATAAATTGAATCTCAATTCACAAACAACCATTTGATGTCATGCACACAATATATAATTCATTCATGATATTTTCCATTTTTCAATATTCAACATTCAATGCTCAACAATATCTTTAACTAAGCTTAGTCTAAAAGATTTGATGATTACCAACTCTTAAACTATTTCTAGTTTAAGGTACTTCTAACCAACTCTTAAGCTAGGTCATTAGTTTAAGGTACATATTCCAATTTATTTACCAACTCTTAAACTAGCCTTCGCTTAAGGTACAAATCCAGAAAACTGAACAGTAGATTACTAACTGTCAGGTTGGGTGGTATCCCCAAACGAGTTCCTCTAGTTTGGTTTATGGATCCCGTACGTACGTTTTTACCCAAGGCCACCGAATATACGTTCTTATACTCGCAAGGCCTATTCTAATCAGAAGTCTATCTTAGAGATCTTCTAAGTAGCCTTAATAGTATAGTTCATTAATTCATTATTATCAACTTAACAATTCATGATCATCATTCAGAGTATTCAACATAATTAATTATCATAAACAATAGTTAAACAATCATAAAATCTAATAACAAATAGTGGTCTAGTATCGAGTGTTAGCA